TCTAGAATCCAGCACGAGTTGATTATACAGTCTGTTTTTAAAAGCACTTGGTACATTATTAGGAAATAAATCTGTATTAGAAACACTAGTATCGTAAATAACGTGGGAATCCATTGGTGGACTAAGAATGAATAAACTAAAAACAAAACAGAACATCTGTTTATACACTCACCTTTAGTAAGCTAATCATAGCGCTCCTCCGCCATCTTTAGGGCGTTTAGTTTTACAACTACTGTAAAATAGTTAAATACCTGTTTACGAGATTCTGTATTCCTAAACATTTCTCGTGAAGTTGAGGTTAAAAAGATGAATAATTTAACCAGCGGTAATTTTTCTCGTGGGAATACAGAGCGGTGAATCGTACCATTTTAGTTAAAATATCATCAATTATGTTTAATCCAGTCACTGGCATTTGCAGATTCCCATTAACGTCCCATTGCATCTACTTGCTTTCATCAAAATAATTCAACAGCGAAGTAGCATAATCATGATCTTTAGCTTTCAATTTTAAATTGTACCAAATGTACTATTGAAGGATTAGCTCGTACTGAAACTGATGCTACTGGCGTTGCTGTTGGTGTTGGAGCTAGTGATGGCGCCACTTCTGCTTTTTTTTACTACTGCTACTTTAGCAGATCCCTCATCGATGGATTTACGAGGTACAAGATAATATTCTTTCATTTTTTATTTATTAAATAGCCTGGAAGTTAGCCGCTATGGGTAATAATATACCGAGGATGCTGCCTCCTTTGCGAGTCAATAAAATGTGCTTTTTGTTCGAAATTGAGGGTTTCTTGCAAGCCAGCGAATGCAAGGTGTCTCTGTATTTCTTCAATTTACCTATAACTTCTTTTTAACCGGAAGCCTATTTTTCAGAAAAATTTTGAAAATCTCTGACAAGCAATGAATATGTGTTTTTTTAAACTGAGCAATCAATTTTTTCCTGGCTGAGGAATTAAGTTTGCTCAGCAGGGTCACCAACTCTCTGTACTTGTATACTAATGGCTTCTTCATATCAACAAATCATCAGCATCAATCCACTGATCAAATGAAGAGTCGTAGCCTTCGTACCTTACTTTATACTGTAATTTATTATTGGGTAATGTACGTTTACGTAGCACTTTCTCAATATTAAATGCAGCTGGTAAATGGGTTAGGGTTAATTCTTCCTTATAAAACCCTCCGTCAATAGGCTTGTCATTCAAATCTTGTAAAAAAAATAATGGGATAGGCTGACTTTTATCTATACAAATAATTCTGAAAATTTCTTCCGTGTTTTGTCTAGCAACACCTTTCTTGAATGTTGAAATTCTGTTGGAGAGAGTAATGCGAACTGTGTCCCCGACAGCTAGTAGAGAACTAAGACCTACTTTAGGACCTTACTTTTATACATGAGATTGAACTGTTTCTTTATATCTTGTGGACGAGATAAAGCATGAACGTCAACTGGAGTCCGACCAACCCTCGGTGGGGTGTTGTGTTATACGCCTTTATGATATTAGGCAATATGGGCAGATATCTCGAGGTATTGTGTGCAGTCATATATTTATAAATCTTGGTTTTCATGGTACGTATAAAGCGTTCGGCGATGGCGGCTTTTGTTTCTTGAGAAAATACGCTGTACAGTTTAATATTTTTAGCTGCAAGCGTTCGTTGCATATGAGAATTATAAAATTCACCCCCTCGATCTGTATTAATTTTACGTATTCCTTGGAAATATGAGGATTCCAATATGTTTTTCAGAGCTTTACTCACAGTCTGTCCATCTTTCCGTTTCAGAGGTGCTACTTGCGCATACCGCGAAAAAATATCGACACAGACGAGAATGTATTTAATATCATCATTGTGTTTAGCCAATAATCCCATTTCTGTTAAATCACAAGCTAAGTATATACGGGGTTTGGGACTCGGTACCTTTCGTCGCTGAAATTTGCGAGGTTTTAATGCGTGCAAAGTGTAAGCTTTAGACGATTTCAAGTATTCTTTGACATCTGATAAAGTTATATCTGGTTTTAGCTGCTTTATACAACCTATTGACCCCCCCCCTAACCTCCTGAGGATCCGGGGTTATAATAAATTTTATCTAGTACGTGCTCCATCTTCTTATAAAGTAATATCGGATTGTATGGTTTTAGTTGTTTTATACATCCGATATTCCAACCCCCCCTAGTGGTTGTTGTTGTGGGGAACACATCCTATGCACCCCACCCCCCCCTAACCTTCCCTTGTGGTTGTTGTTGTGGGGAACACATCCTATGCACCCCACCCCCCCCCTAACCTTCCCTTGTGGTTGTTGTTGTGGGGAACACATCCTATGCACCCCACCCCCCCCCTAACCTTCCCTTGTGGTTGTTGTTGTGGGGAACACATCCTATGCACCCCACCCCCCCCTAACCTTCCCTTGTGGTTGTTGTTGTGGGGAACACATCCTATGCACCCCACCCCCCCCTAACCTTCCCTTGTGGTTGTTGTTGTGGGGAACACATCCTATGCACCCCACCCCCCCCTAACCTTCCCTTGTGGTTGTTGTTGTGGGGAACACATCCTATGCACCCCACCCCCCCCTAACCTTCCCTTGTGGTTGTTGTTGTGGGGAACACATCCTATGCACCCCACCCCCCCCTAACCTTCCCTTGTGGTTGTTGTTGTGGGGAACACATCCTATGCACCCCACCCCCCCCTAACCTTCCCTTGTGGTTGTTGTTGTGGGGAACACATCCTATGCACCCCACCCCCCCCCTAACCTTCCCTTGTGGTTGTTGTTGTGGGGAACACATCCTATGCACCCCACCCCCCCCTAACCTTCCCTTGTGGTTGTTGTTGTGGGGAACACATCCTATGCACCCCACCCCCCCCCTAACCTTCCCTTGTGGTTGTTGTTGTGGGGAACACATCCTATGCACCCCACCCCCCCCCTAACCTTCCCTTGTGGTTGTTGTTGTGGGGAACACATCCTATGCACCCCACCCCCCCCCTAACCTTCCCTTGTGGTTGTTGTTGTGGGGAACACATCCTATGCACCCCACCCCCCCCCTAACCTTCCCTTGTGGTTGTTGTTGTGGGGAATACATCCTATGCACCCCACCCCCCCCTAACCTTCCCTTGTGGTTGTTGTTGTGGGGAACACATCCTATGCACCCCACCCCCCCCCCTAACCTTCCCTTGTGGTTGTTGTTGTGGGGAACACATCCTATGCACCCCCCCCCTAACCCCCCCTAGTGGTTGTTGTTGTGGGGAACACATCCTATGCACCCCCCCCCCCTAACCCCCCCTAGTGGTTGTTGTTGTGGGGAACACATCCTATGCACCCCCCCCCTAACCCCCCTAGTGGTTGTTGTTGTGGGGAACACATCCTATGCACCCCCCCCTAACCCCCCCTAGTGGTTGTTGTTGTGGGGAACACATCCTATGCACCCCCCCCCCTATGCAACCCCCCCTAGTGGTTGTTGTTGTGGGGAACACATCCTATGCACCCCCCCCCCTAACCCCCCCTAGTGGTTGTTGTTGTGGGGAACACATCCTATGCACCCCACCCCCCATCCTAACCTTCCCTTGTGGTTGTTGTTCTCATCTAGTACGTTCACCACTGGTATACAATTTCGTATGGATGCTCACCAACAATCTTGCTACGGAAGGTGATGCGTTCAGGGGTTTTCATTCCTAAATCCACCAATAAATACCCGTAAGGTTTACTAATGGCTTTCTTGTAGAGATCCAAAAGCTTTTTAGAATCTTGTTTTACAAATAACTGCCGCCCTAAAGTCTCAGTTTGAGCTAAATCTCTAGATTTCACTAATATGAAATGGGAGGCGTTTAAACTAATACTTCTAGCATCTTTCCCAGAGAAAAATATATTTTAGGTAATTAATATACACGAAATAGCGAGATGTCTGCCTCTAGTGAAGATATCAGACACAATTTTGGAATTGGCAGATTCGATGAACAAGTCATCAATAATAATTAAAATAGGGGAGTCGTCTGTTATTATTTTCTTGTTAATTACTTCATCGTCTAGCAATGCTTTGTAACTGTCGCCGCATATAGTAATACTGGAGAATTTCAGATGGTATTTTTGTACGAGTTTAGTGCACAAATGAGATTTTCCGCCATTGGAAAAGCCTGCAATGATTATTCTGCTAGGTTCATTGAAAATATCGAGTTGTTCTTCAGTGATAGGAGAACTATCCATGGCTCGTGTTGGGTTCGTACTGACATAAGTATGATAAGGTCATTATATTTAAACATGGGAGGTTTCATAAAAACATTAAAGTGTACATTTCATAATTTTTATTTTTTGCATAGAACATGTTCAAAACATAGGTTAGGGGGCAAGGTTTATAAAAACATCAAAGTATACATTTCACAATTTTATTTTTATATATAACAGAACATTTTCAACATAGGTTAGGGGAGACTGCATTTTCAGAACATCAGTGATAAGTCAGGTGCCGGCATTTTTTCAAACATCAATGACAGGTTAGGGGAGGTAGCAATTTTTAAAACATCAATGATAGGTTAGGGGAGGTAGCAATTTTCAAACACAAAGATAGGTTAGGGGAGGTTGCAATGTTCCATCGCCAATTTCTTCAGTCTTGTTGTGATACGTCTTGTTCACCAGTGCATCGCGTTTTCCCCACATATTGAATATGGGGTGAAATCCACGTCTCACAGGACGTGCAGCAGGTGCAGGTACATCCTCCTCCTCTTCTTCATGAATTTCTGCTCGAGGTATATCGGGGTGTCATTACGCCAAAGACTGTGTAGGATCAGTACATGACGTTTATCGTCAAAGGCGGACAATCCACGTTTTGTAGTGAGACAGGTGCACATACGGCCTTTAACATTCCTAATAGATCTGGAGTGGAACCTCTGCCCAATATTTAACTCTAAAGCACTTTGGAAAGCTGAATGAGTGAGTTTAGACTGATGATAAGTGGGAATTCCTTTACAACGACAGATCTAAACCTGATCTTGAGTGAGAATTGAGTACGTTTTAGGCTTCAATGCGAGAGCTCCTTGATAATTTTGGTTCCAACTTCCAATTTTAACAAACCCAGTTGACCTTTCCGAGAGTCAGCAAAATAGGGATTTTCAGGAGGAAAATTGCTGAAATCCATATGCTGAGACAAAGGCAGTTTATTTAATTCATCAAAAGCATTTGGACAAGTCAATTCAATCAAATACGAATCTGTATCCGTATACAGCAATCTAGCTTTGTCTCCAAAATGAACTTTAACTGTGTTGTACCAAAAATCATATAGGATCCTCTTAGCTATTTTCAGGATCTGGAAATCCAGGTACGTCGGTGTATTGACTTTAAGTGATTGTTTTTTGACCGTGCAAATGACTCTGTCTTCGCTCAACAAAATGCACCGTTTGTAGAACTGATTGCGTGCAAGCTTTTGGAATTTGTCTCGAGATGTAACTAAATAATCCTGATCACAATATTTACTCACATTTGTTAAACTCTTGCCGAAAATTGCATTTGATACCAGCTTGAAAGCTTTACCCCTAATGGCGCAAGGTGTATTCGAACGTTCACGAGCATTTGTTTCGACAAATTCCTTAAGGTACGTGCTTTGTCGGAATTCATAAACTGCATTTACCTTAGCTACTTCAAATCCCAATTTCATCATCATCTTAAGCAAATCGAAACTGACCAAGTAATCTTTTTGGGGGAGGTGAGAGGCAATTAATTTATTGTTTTTTTGGGGGAGTTTGCGATCTTCCGTATTTAAAATGCGTTTGCTATAATCGGACAGAAGATCAGTAGAAATATTGGCGTGTGACAGGGTTAAGGGTAAGTCATCGGTGTATCGAGCCACCTCAGGTGCGACATGCTTAGTATCACACATGACCCAATACCCCTTATCCCCATCACATGCAATATTTCCCAAACATTGTTGGAGCCAATCATTGCATTCGGCAGCAGATAATTTACGGATCCCGCCTTGAGGAAGCAGTTCTGTCATACAGGTGGCGTATAGGCCATTAAAATCCAAATACAAAATATATTTATCAGTGCTAGAAGGATCAGCACCCGTATGCTCATTTTCTACATGCGTGTGTTGTCGTACAACAGAGGTAAATCCGCCTCTTAGATTTCTACGCAATACATCGTACAAATGGGGATCAGAAATAGAGTACAAGATAACTTCACTCTTAAACAAGAAAGCGTCCCATGCAAAACTAGATAACGAGACATAGTGAGTGATGTCTAACTTGTACAGCTCGAGCATGGTCTTGCGCCATACAGTAAACACATCACACAATAATCCAGTATCTACTTTTAAATAGACCTTCAAGTAATACCCAATGGTCTTGCATTCCGCTAATCTAAAGTCTTCTTTAGCCTGTGTATAATCGTTCTCGCTTATGGCCTCGTGTTTTAAACTATTGTAGAAGGCTTCGGGAGGAGGAAGAGCCGGTTCATCTAATTTCTCCAAAGATGAAATGTAGTCATAGCAGAAGACCTGTTTGCCTGTCTTTAATAAACGGTAGGCGGCTACAGGGACGTCATCTAGCATAACTGAGGTGTATCTGGTGGGGTTACCTTCCTTGATATGTTCTTTAGCTAGGTTTTCCAGCCCACCATTCAATAAAGCCAGATTATCCATAAACCGAAGTTAACCGATATCCACTTTCATGAACTTAAATCAATCTTTGAAGGCAATATCAATTTTACGGTGAGGGAGGTTAGACATTTCATTTAAAATTACCCAGAGGTCATAAGCCGCATTGTGAGAGAAAGTGTACAAATATTTATAAAAATTTCTGCACAACATGTTGCACCTGCAGCAATAGGCAGCTAGATAATTATTAAATTCATTAGCAGGATCATGAAGACGGTGCTTGTCTTTATCTGATTTGAATGGCCTATAGCACATTTAACATGTGGTTTGCCGTCTGTAAGCTTGCCAATGTTCACGTGTCATAGATATTTTGTATTTAGGCATGGTAGATTTAATTCTCTTCCACGCCTTCTCCAAAGTATCTATGAAATGATTCACAGGGTCATCCCCCATATACGTTAATTTATCTACCACCTCCAATTCCCTGTTGATGATTATATGAGTGTATGCCACAGCTTTGTGCCGCTTCTCGATCATACCTTGGGGATTGGAGGGGTCCAACAAGCACTCAAAATCATAATATGCAGTATGTGAAGGCCCATATCTTGAGGTTGTCTTGAGATGATTTCGGGGCTTTAGTGTCCCCGCGGCCCGGTCCTCGACCAGGCCTCCAACCCCAGGAAGCAGCCCGTGACAGCTGACTAACTCCCATGTACCTATTTTACTGCTAGGTAACAGGGGCATAGAGTGAAAGAAACTCTGCCCATTGTTTCTCGCCGGCGCCCGGGATCGAACCCAGGACCACATGATCACAAGTCCCGCGTGCTGTCTGCTCGGCCGACCGGCTCCCATAGACACGACCGTAATTTTTGAACTTGATTTTATGACCTTCAGGGTAAAATTTCAATGTTTGTTTAACTTCGCACGACTCTTCATGATCCCGCATCACATCAGGTGACAAATGAATTAAACATGAATGACAGTAAATATGATTGTTATGGATCTCATATGAATGGCCGCGCATGTTGCAGACATACTGATCGAAATCTTTAATGAGCATGAGATGCTGATCCTCCAACATGAGCAATGATACTTTTCGGGCGGAATGTTCTCTGCCTTTTCTAGCTAAGCTAATGTAGTACCAGTTATCTTCACGAGTAAGCACATAGATAAAAATACTTAATTTATTCGTTCTTTCGATTTTATTGATGTTATCATGCATTATGGGTGTTTCAATATCCTCACTCCAACGGACAAATCTAAGACACCACCTGACCGACTTGGAACGCCTGCCAATTTTATTTGAATTCATCCCCCGAGAAAGGCATATGTAAGCTGCCAAACATTGGATCAAACAAGCATTTTGCTCCCTTTTAGGGTTGAAAATAAGCTTATTACCATGCAATTTATCTGGATAAGGAACGAATTCTCCTAGACGGATAGGATGTTGAACAGCTATGGAATTGATATAAAAATCAGAAATGCTCTGTATACCTAGACTCGAACCTTCTGTCTCGGCAAAGAACTCTTCTAACTTATCATCCAATTCAGCAATCCATTGAGCTACGACAACACTAGCCTCATGCCTAGTTACAGTGCGTTGTTCAGCCCTTATAGGTAACTCTCCCTCAAAATCAGGTTCAATTTCTTGATTAAGCCGTTGTAAATTAAAAGAAAAATCGGGGTAAATTAAGAGGGCAGGAGGGAAATTGGGGTGAACGGTGTCAAACAAGGATTCTATTTGCCGAATAAAATAATCACAATATATAGTTAAATAATGGGCAGGATCTCCTTGGGCATAATCTGGGATGCTATATGAATGGCGTATGTCCCCCCTATTGAAATTATTAATCACTTCAAGCACTTCGGGTTGAGGAGGAAGCAAAACATCTACCTGCTGCTGCTGCTGTTCCTGAGGTGGTGGCAAATTGGCGATAGGCTGGCTGGCTTCCATATCTGAATCCGCTTCCCAAACCAAATGCAGGGAATCGTCATCATCATCACCTCTAGTTTTGAATCTATAAGTAACAAGAATAATGATTTTTAATAAATAAAATTAAATATACGAAGTTAATAAATAATGTCGTTATTTAATATACTAATAATTATTGCGGAAGTTACTTACAATTAGAACTTTCCCTGTTGTCATTTTCTTCTGGTGTTGGTGTGCGAGCTTGGCTCGTGCTAGGCTCTTCACCACCTCTTCCTCCTCTACGTGGATATTCCTCCACTAACTGCCGAGCTGGTGAGCCTAAAATCATATAAATGATCATGTTAATAATAATTGAAGATGATAAATGAGTTATTTATATAAATATAGCTAACAAGAATTGGTAATGGTATAATATTACAGAATACTATATTTTACTTACTTTCATATTGAACACTTTGGTGCGATGACGCTTCGGAGTGCTCTGAATCAGAACTAGCATCAGACTTGGATTCATCTAGATACATGCAAAATGGACATGCATCGGGGTTGCGACCTGTAGATTTAATTAAGTTATATAGCTATACATATTTTTAAGGACTGCTGCATAGATGTATAGCTGTACAGCTAATTGCAAATATTAATTTATATATAAATTTAGCTGCTGCCGCTATTGAGCAATTTATTGAAGTATGTACTTTTGTTTAGAAAAGTAATACAAATAATATCTGATGCTGCTGTTAAGTCATTTTTTTCAATAGCAACTATAAATATACTAAAATTCACAACAGATCTAAGGGAAACTTTTACAGTTGTTATAACCACAATGGTACTTACGGGTAAAACAAAACACTTTGGAGCACGAGGGACAAATCTTATCAAAATGTCCACGAGGTATTTCAAAGCACTGCATACAGTAAATAACACACTGACGCTGAGGATTGGCGGTGAAGGGTATCCTGCATTCAGCACATCTCCCCTGGCATAGATGGAATGGTCCTAGTTTAGGAGCCTTGCAAAGTTCACATATATACATGGTTGAGTTGATGGATATGAGAAAGCGAAGTTGGATATTGCACAAGTACTGGAGCTAGATCAGAGTGTTAGCACAGGAAACCTGAGTTGGACTGACCTTAGGGCTGGGGGAGGTCCTTATAAGGACAGCTCACCTGCTGCCAGATGTACGATTCTGCTTAAATTGCGGTACGACATTTGGGCAGCTATTTTAGTTTTTGAACCCATCATTGCATAATGATTACAGTTGTGGATGACTAAAATGTATATTCTCAAACCTCTAATTAGGTTAGGTGGGGATAGTTAGTCTAGCAATTTTGAATAATAACATTAAATACAGTATACATGCCAGTAGGACGCAAAAGGCCGCATTGGCCATCTGGTGACGTCATACATAGTTGAACAGTCAGGTGCTGTGGTGCCTTAACACTATTTGTTAATAGGAGCTAATACCCTATCCCCATACGGAGGTTGCTTTTCGCGATGTCGTTAAACAACAACGAGTCTGTAGAAATGTATTTGTTTGATATATAATAAGTTAGGTTAGGACAGTTTGATTGGGTTTATGAAATGAATAACAGAAAATATGAGCAATGCGCAAAAATACGAGTAAAGATAGCTGAATATCGTTTCTGGTGAAGCACAGAGTACAATTGAGGTATTGAGAGTTATTAAGAGTTCGCACTAATGTGTGAAACTACTAGGATCTGCATAGAGCTTGACGCCTCGCACCGCATTAGGGATGATGACGTCAGAAAAGAAGGTAACTGCAGAAGGCCTTATTTCAAAAAATGAGAGGCTTGCTTTTACTGAATGAGTATTTTAATTTGTTAAATGCTACGGTAAGGTGTGGGAGGTATGTTTTGAGCGAATGTGAGACGTGCATATATACATATATACATATATATATATATATATATATATATATATATATATATATATATATATATATATATATATATATATATATATATATATATATATATATATATATGTCGTACCTAGTAGCCAGAACGCACTTCTCAGCCTACTATGCAAGGCCAAATTTGCCTAATAAGCCAAGTTTTCATGAATTAATTGTTTTTCGACTACCTAACCTAACTTTTTCGGCTACCTAACCCAACCTAACCTATAAAGATAGGTTAGGTTAGGTTAGGTAGGGTTGGTAAGGTTCGAGCATATATCTACGTTAATTTTAACTCCAATAAAAAGAAATTGATCTCATACATAATGAAATAGGTAGCTTTATCATTTCATAAGAAAAAAATTAGAGAAAATGTATTAATTCAGGAAAACTTGGCTTATTAGGCAAATCGGGCCTTGCATAGTAGGCTGATAAGTGCGTTCTGGCTACTAGGTACGACATATATATATATATATATATATATATATATATATATATATATATATATATATATATATATATATATATATATATATATATATGTTTCATTGAATATGACCGCATATTCTGTATTTATTGTTTTCTGGTTTAGGGCTTCTATCCCTCTAACTATTTTCTTAGCATCAGGGCTTAATTGAAATAGGAGTTCTCCAAAACTCATTTTCGTACTTTTAAGGTGAAGAAAAGAAGTGATTTACTATAGAGTGTATTACACTTATTTGTATAATTTGCACGACGTTTCGAACCTCCATGGTTCATTCTCAAGTGAACAGATCTTACAATACTAGTTGATTTTATACCCGCATTAGGTCAGGTGATAATACAATGAAGGTGAAAACATGGGGGGATACATAGGGGCTGCAGAAGGCTTATTGGCCCATACGAGGCATCTCCTATCTAAACACAAAGATTAATCCAGTGTAATTGGCCTGTTATGTTGGACATTGTCTTCTGTGTTGGCATCGATATGTTCTTGTCTTGTCCTTACTCTCATGGTGGGTAGAGTAAATAGTTCCGTGATTTGGGTGTTCATGGTAGGTCGCTCTATTCTTATGTGAATTGCCTCAAGAATTTGTAATCTTCTTGAATCTTGGGTTTTGTCTATTATGCAAGTATTCTTGTTCAACATTTCTCTTGTTAGAGTAATGTCATGGGCTTGTCTCATGTGATTCCTAGGGGCACCAGATTGAAGATGGC